GGAGGGGGGGGGAGGGGAGCGGAGGGGAGCGGAGGGGACTGCGGCCCTAGCGGGCACCTGCGCGGGGAGAGCTGCGAGCGACGGCCGGAGAACGCAGCGGGAGGGAAGCCTCGGCCTCTGGTCGTTTCCGAGGCCCCCAGGGAAGACGGAGCGGAGGGTCTTGCCCTCGAAGAATGCGGCCAACTAAGCATAACCTGCTCGCCACGTGGGAACGTTTCATTTTTTTTCAAGGAACATTTCCAATCGATAGCTTTTTAAATGACAACCCCTTGTTTGTTCTAGGACTAAACGTAATTGGCAAGTCTGGTGGAAGCACAAACTCTTTCTGCCCCCTCTCTAATATATATATAAACATCCGCCTTTCTGCTGTGTACAGTTTGCTGAGAAAGGACCGAGAGCAAAGCCCAGGGGAAGAGGTCTCATATTACAGGTTCTCCTAATTGTTGAAGCGCCCCTGACAACAGAACTATTTGGTTTTCCCATCCGTGTTTACACTGTCCTCTTGATCTCTGCAGCATCGAGCATTCGTGAGTGGATTTTTATCTGGCTTCTTGGACACCACTTAGGGGTAAACCACAGCGAAGAAAGGTTTTTAAAGCCTGGCTGGGAGGCGGAGGCCCCTGGTTAAGTATAAAAGCACACACATCGCTTACAATTTCCCCTNTAAAGCCTGGCTGGGAGGCGGAGGCCCCTGGTTAAGTATAAAAGCACACATATCGCTTACAATTTCCCCTTTTGATGATGGAGGAAAAAACACAATTTCTAAATGGTATGGCATGCAAACACATTTTTTAAAATTATTAATGATTTTCCCCAGGGCTCCAGACAGGTTGGTGAGCAAACTTCAGCGAATTTGGAAGCTGGGCAACTTTCCATGCCCAATTACACAGTGTCAGCTCCGGGTTTGCCTGGGTCCCAGTGCCCTCCAAACAGGCACAGGGACCTGTCTTTGTTTTTCCCTTTCTGTTGTTTTAAAGGCTGGTTTTCGGCATTCCTCTCCTCTTGCTTGGAAGAGCGTGGTCTGCCCATTTGCAGCTCTTGCAACACTTCATTTAAAGTGATTTATCTTGCCAAATTGATCATCTCTTTAAAATCTGCTTTTACCCAGCAATAATAGCTGGTTATAGTTAATGTTTTTGCAAAGAGGTTCATTCTGACTCATCATGGTCAACGTTGTCCCACACACAGCTGAGTAAAGTTCTGGTGGATATCCAATTCCTGACTGTCAACTGTTGACCTCCCAACTGCTTCCCCATTGATATCACCATCTGTTGTCATGGGAAAGACTGTCTGATATTTGGGTTAAATGCCACTGAAGTCATTCAATTTCCATGTGGAAAAATAATCCAAAGTAAATTGCCCAGTGAGGTACGGAAGCTATTTTCCCAGAGATAGTGGATCGAAAAAAAAAAAAATCCCCCAAAAAGCAAAACAAAACACCTCGCCACAGAAAATCCCTTCTTTTCTGTCTTCCCTCCGCAACCTATTTTCATCTCATGCATGAAACCGTGTGTCTTAAAGACTCAGGTGTGGCAGGGCCATTCCTTGGGGCTGCAGGGAGAGGGGAGGAAGGTCGGATTTCTGCTCCCTTCTCCCTCGGCCCCAGGGGCGCACCCAGGGCTCTTAGGGGCGCCTGCCACCGCGGTGTCCTGTGAGCCCCGCCGGCGAGGTTCCCAAAAGGCGCGCCGTCACCCCTTCTGACACTTTCCCTGCTCCGTGATGGAGCAACTACTTAACATGCAAAGTTTTCTCCAGCCTGCCCGGCTCGCTCGAGATCATTTCAGTAGCTGACCTGGCTTCTTTCCGAAAAGGCTGCCAAGACACATGAAGTCTTGGGGACACAGTTTGCTCCCTACGAACACGGACCCGGAGTCTCCTCTCCTGCAAACTCGGACCCCTTTTCTCCTCCCGCCCTTCGTCACTCCTGTCCCCAGCTCCCCCCCGGACCTCAGCCCCTCTCCCAAGGCTCAGCATTTCATCGCTCTTACCTTTCCCCTCCGCCACCGGGGCTGCGGGAGACGATCCAAGGATCAAACAGAGGAGCCAGAAAGCTCTAGCTGTCATTTTTGTAGACACGGTTCCCAGGCTCTAAAACTGAGCCAGGGCTTTTTGCAGTTTCTCTCCCCCCACCCCTTCTCCACACCCCCACCCCCTTCATGCTAATGAGAGGCAGCCTTCGGGGAAACGGAATCACTCGCTGGACAGACCATCGAACAGCTCGGAGCCGCAGGGGTTTCTCCCACTTCCTCGGGGGCGCAGCGCGGCCTCCCAAAGGTGTCCCCGCGAATGTGCGCCCTGCGGCCTCTGCGCAGTGAGAGCATCCAGTCCTAAACTTGAACCCCTGAGGGTTTGCGGGCTGGGCTGGGGGGAGCAGGGGGGGGAGAGTGGGTGGTAGGAAGTTTCTTCTAGATTAAATCGGCAGCAGATGAGCAGATTGGTGCTTAAGAGGGCTCGGGCTTGTGGAAGGGAGGGCTCAGGTGACAGCTCATCCCAGAATGTGCCAGGGATTCCAAGAGAAACAAGTCTCCACATCCTAGGTTTGGTCAAACGATTTTACTATGTATATGATTTTTATATTCTAGAACCAGAAGAAAAAAGTCATCAGCAAAATAGCTCCCCACCCCCTCCCCCATCAGCATCAAGTTGGAAGGATTCACCAAACCTTTTACCCCCAGGTGCTAGGGGACAAGGTGAACAAAGCACCTTCCTGGATCTCTAGTGATGGCTCATCTCCTGTTTCTCTTCCTTCCAAGAAAAACTCATTCACTGCTTAGGTCTGCATCCTTGAAAGGGCTCTGTGTGCGGATCCTGAGCCCAGGAGCCTCTCCCTCAGGTCGGACCGAAGCAGCGTTGGCCAAGGGCAGAAACAAGCTCAGCCTAGCAAACCCTCAGCCTTCCCGGAGAGCGTCTCATTTCAACAGCTTCAAACCCAGGGGAAGGAAAATGCGTTGCCATGAAGGTGTTTTCCCTGAAGCGTCTGGGCCAACAGTGAGATGCAGCTGCTAAAAGAAAGAACACACTTCTGTTGCACTAATATCTAAGGCCTCAGGAATTGTAGTGCTGGCAGACGGACCAGATTGTGGGGGTCACGTCCTCCAGGAAGACACTGGAAAGCTAAGACAAGGGGCCAGCGAGAAGGCTGGACTCCATCAGGTTCAAGTTCCTTTGGAGGAACCGAGGGTTGGCAGCCTGGACACACAAAAACATTTGTTGTGCTTTGTGAAAGAACCCGTAGGTTGAAGTTATGAAGTGACAGGTTTAACCTCAATTTAAGAAAGAAGACTGTACCAACCAAGGTCTCCGAGAACGCTGACTGCTTTCAGCTCCTGCCACTGGGCGCATCCAAAGAGAACGTGGCTCGGGGCTCCTGTAGGAAGTCTCCTGATTTAGGTGTGTTGTGGTTTGAGGGTTACTGGGAGGTAAATATGTTCCTCTAGAGAGGAGCTGTCTGTCTAGTCACAGGCTGACAATATGTTGGAGGGCAGGGGGGAGCGGTCACTATGTTCTGTAGTCTGGTTCTCAACCTTCCTCAGCTTGAAACTCTACAGTATGTCAGTGGATCAGATTCATGGGATTGACTCATGTTAACCAAACTCATAAAAAACAGATGTATAAACCAGAATGTTTTTATTAACATGCACTGGAGAGGCTACAGTAAAGATGATTCAGAGGCCTAATTATTAATCAGAAAGTTGTGTATTGAGCCCTAAGTTGAACTGCAGCTGAAGGCAGGCTACTCGTTCCCATTCAGGCTTTGGAAGAAGACTGAATCTCTCCAGTCACTGCAAGGCTTGAGTGTCTCCAGCCTCTGACCAGGACCAGGTAAACACTGTGAAATTCGTGCTTTTGGGGCCCAGTTTGTCTATGTCCTCAGATCCCCTTCTTTCACGTGCTCTTTCTTTAAGTCAAGTGGAATAAAATGAATTAGGCTTAAGCTTTCTCGATTACAGCCACATCTCATACATACCTGCTGGAGATTATATTCAAGTCACCCAGATCCAATTTGGGGTGTTCCCGAAACTCTTCTGTTGCAGGAATGTTGTGAATACCCCAAAGCCCACACCCTGAAATGTAGAGGCAGAGACCAGCTGGGTGACTCCCACTGACTCCTAGTGGCCCCCGGGGTGGCACCAGCCTGGAAGAACTTTTGGGGTCCAGAGCTGGGCAGCATCTGGTTTGCAGGTTCCAAACCCCATGAATAATGGGAGGTACAAAGAGTTCAGAGCATTCTCTCCCTATAAACAAGTCACATGGGAAGCCAGATTATCATCATGATGCTTGATAATATAAACCAGAGCACGAGGAATTCGTCATATGTTTGGAATGTTTAATGATACTGGTTTCTCAGAGCCTAATGTGTCCGTCTCCATAACAGGTATGTGTGTGTCTGTGTGTCTGTGTGTGTGTCTGTATGTCTGTGTGTCAGTGTCAGGTGGCAGAATCTAAGAGTCTTCCTCTTTCCTGCCAATTTCTGGTGTTTTGAGTGTATCTTTCTGCTTAGCAAATATTGAGCATCTACTATGTGTCACATAAGAAGGGATTTGCGCCAGGTTCCCGCAAGGAGCCCGTAAAGCCCTCGGGATTTCCCAAGTGATAAAAGTGGCTTTGTTGTTCACGAGCTTCCTGGATCTCACCTGAGGTTTGCTAATGAGGCCACTTAGAGAGACCCCTTTGAGGGCTTCAGGATGGGAGCTGGGACCAGAAAGACCAACCACGCAATTAGACGGTCGAGACGTTGAGCCAGCGGGCCCTCCGGGGAGCGGAGAGAGGCCGGAGATGGGGTTCACTCGGGTGGCCGGTGATTTAACCAGCACGCCTCCCAGATCTCAGCCTCTGCGTCTCTTCACTGGGCAGATCCTGATCTGCGTCCTTTATGATAAAGCTGCGATTGTAAGTGTAGCACCTTCCCGAGCTCTGTGAGTCGTTGCAGGGACCCATCAAACCCGAAGGGGATCGTGAGAACCCCCAGACTTGTAGCCAGCTTTTATTTAGTTAAAATTTTATTGCAGACTCTCTGTAAATGTGAAATCTCATAACGGCGTGACACGTTCTCATGTAGACAAACCATAATTTGGGAACGTTGTAGGCTGTTTGCAGGTTTTGCCATTGGAAGACTGTCTGTGTCCCCACCGACAGGGGAATGGCAGGCTGTCGCGTCGCCTGGTGGAATACCACAGAGCAGGCACCATCGACGGCGGGGGGCAGGTAATTAATTCTTTGCTGGGCTTTGGGCACCTTGATCGGGATCCCTGGCCTTATCCACCGTGTGCCAGTAGCAGCCTGCCTCCAGTTGTGACAACCTACACTGTCTCTAGATATTGTCACATGTCTCCTGGGAGCAAAATCATGAGCCATATTCATTGCTGATACAGCAGGGAGAATATATGAGCTACACTTACAAAAGCAAACTATAGATGAATGTGGTAAAGGTGATGTCCATGAAAGAAGCCGGACAGAGAACGATGTATACGGTACAGTTTCCTTTGCATAAGGTTCGCTAAGGGGCAGAACCGAGGGAGTGAAGGTCTGGCTAATGGTTCCTCTGGGAGCAGCTCATGGCTGGAAAGAGCGCGGGCGGGGACTCCGCTGCTAAAGTCGCCTCGAGTTTGACCTATTAATTTTTGATATCTTAAATAAGAAATGTTATTAGTTTATATAGTCAAATCTGTCGGGGGTTTTAAAATGACATCTTTCATCCCTTTATAAAAGCTTAAATTTATACAAGTCATAGATATTCATTCCAGAATTAGACATCACAGGTAAGAAAAAATAAAAAATTAAATGTGATTCTATTGTGTAGAAATAACTGCTATAAATATGTTGGTGTATCCATTTGCAGACTTTTCTGTACACATATATGTACATGAAAATAGGTTACATAATTTCCTTCTGGGATCATGGTGTATACATATTTTATGATGTGGTTTTTTACATTTTAATGATTTGTCAACATCTTTCCGTTTCAGTAAGTATAGGATTGCGTGATCATTTTGATCGACTGAATTCCTAAACATCGAACTGCTGAGTCAAAGGATGTGATAACGCGGTGTCTCGGCTGCGGCCCGCGGTGTCCCCCGGCAGCCTCATGGGGTCACACTGAGCCGCGGGTGCTGTCACCCGCGCTAACGCCTTTCTCCATCGGGACGGGAACCACCCGTATTTCATATCCTTGTTCTGAAGAGCTTTTTACGATTTCCGTGTAAAAGTCTTCAGAAAATATTCTTCCAGTGACAGCTGACGCTCAGTACCCTGTTGTATCGGTGTCAGGTGTAGGGCCCAGGGGTCACACGTCTGTGCAGGTTCCGCAGCGGCTCCCGGGAGGGTCCAGCCCCCGCCTGGCACCACGCTTACTACAGTGTCATTGACTGTGTCCCCTGTGCTGTGCCTCGCGTCCCCGGGACTGTTTTGCAACTGCCAGTCTGTACTTCTCAGTCCCGTCACCTCTTTCACCCTGAAGAGTGTGTTTTTTTTTTAAAAAAAGGCTCCTCTTTAATTCACTTTTTATTTTATTGCTGGTGATATTGTACGCTTTTTTATAGATTTATTGGCCATTTGGATTTCTTTTGTTAATTTCCTGTTCGTATTCCTTGCCTGTTTATTGGGATGTTCATATTTCCCTTTCTGAGTTTAAGAGCTATTTATAGCCTAAGAATTTAAACTCTTTGTCTATTATACAGCGGGCAAAAGGAGGGTAACAGCTGTTCATATGGAAAATAATACAATAATTAATAAATAATAATGCAAGAATAAACTCTATGTTTCAAGCACTCACAACTGCAAACCTACTTTTGCTGAACCCGGTATACATTGCAAACATTTCCTCACAGAATTACGTTTGATTTTTAACGTCTTAGGGATTTTTTGGCCATAGAACTTAAATTTTGCACAGTAAAATCCATCAATCTCTTGGTTAACAATGTCCCTAGCGTCCTTTGTCATGCCTCGAAAGCCTTTCTCCAACTCAAAATTATATATGTATTAGCCTATATTTTTCTAGCGCTTGTAGTAAAATCACGATTCCATCTGGAATTTATTTTGGTATGTAGTATGAGGTAAGAATCTAATTTTATTTTTTTCTCAAATAACTAGGAAGTTGTCTAATCCAATTGGCAAATAAATTCATCCTTTCCCAACGTCGAGATGTCACCTTTAACACAGGGCAGTGGTTTTTCAACCAGCGAGCCACAAAAATGTTTAAAACATGCAACACCTGACTGTCTAGTTACAGGCACTGACCCCTTTCCCCTAGACTGTCAAATGAAAAATGACACCAGCCGACAGCAATAGCCGGCCGGTGTGAATGAAGCAAAATTATACTTTTTTTTTTTTGGTCAGATGGGCAAAAAATGTATTTTTTGGTGTGCCGCAGAATTGTAGAAATTAGTCTGTGTGTGCCGTGAGATGGAAAGGGTGGCCCTGCTGACAGGGAGACTGTCCCCTTACAGTAAACGTGGGCCTGTTCCTAGGCCCGGCCCTGCCCTGCGAGTACCTCTGTTCATTCTCGCGCCCCGGTGGCCGCAGGTTATCGGGCCGTGGTTATCATTGTCGTGGTGTTAGAACATGTCTTTCTTTTAGAAAATGGTTTTGGGTATGATAGTGTGTGTGTTTTCCCCAGTGAACTTTAGGATTATTCTGCTAAATTTAAAAATCCTGTTGGTTTGATTGAATTTGCATTAACTGTACAGATTACATTATAAAGGACTTGGCAGCTTTTCTGTGCTGTCCTTCTGTCCGTGAGAATAGAGCATCTACAGTTCTTCGTGTGGCCTTTTCCCTCTGTCAGAATATTATCATTTTCTCATCTAAGCTCTGCACTTTTCTCGTTACATTTATTTCCTGGGTATTTTATATGTTTACTGTAATTTGGAAGGATCTTTTTTCCTCTATCGTTTCTAACTGGACTTTCTAGGTATATAGGAAAGCTGCGGATTTGTGCGCATATCCATGGTTACTGTTCACGTCCCAGTTAGTGCCTCTCCAAAAATAGTCCGAACTATTTGCAATGGATTCCCTTGGGTTTTCCCAGTAAAAAAAAATATATACTCTGTAAATAATGATATTTTGCTTCTTCCTCTCAAATATTTATTTAACTTTTTATTGCATCGATGAGAACTTTCCAAGCTTTGTTGGACAGCATCATAGTCATTGTCCTGGTCTTACTGGTGCGCCTCACTAGTAGGCCCCCTCAGGGCTCCAGTTTCAAGTGGCTCGGCCTGACTGGCTTCCAGTGCAGTGAGCTCTGGTAATCGGCACCCCCACCCCTTCCCTTAGGGAGCAGACACCTATCTTTATTATATTGTGGTTTTCTTAACATTGATCGCCTGATTGCATCTCCTAGAGGGTGTATTTTCTCTCCAGTCATTTTTATCTCTATGCTTTTCCTTGTACTCATAGTTCAAGAAATGATTTTTTTAAATTAATGCATAACAAAATCGGAAAAATTGGGGTACTTCCATATCTAATGTTACAATAAAATAAAAAACGAACGTCTGTTGTCAACAATAATGATTATAATAATAGCTGGCACCTATTGAGTACTGTTCGAAGCATTAAATCTTTACATCAAAATATGAGTTTATACTTTTATTATCCTAGTTTTACAGATGAGTAGCTGAGGCACAGAAAGGTTAACTAACTTGCCGGAGGTTACACAGCTATAGCCAGCGCTCTGTGCCAGGCAGGCTGTCCCCGGGCGGAGGCGCTGTCCGCGCGCAGTCTCGCTGCAAACAAGGGACGATTGTTCTGCCTCTGAGCGCGACCTTCCCCCGGAGAGGCGCCCCCTGCCGGCCGGGCCTAAGACGCGCGGCCCCAGCGTCTCCCTGCGCGGGTGCCTCCCTGCTGTTGGTGGCTGTCCCCTCTCCCGGAGGGGTTTCTGGTGTCTCCCAGTGTCATTGAGGGTGGTGGTCGTGTTTCTGCTGCTCATCCACCCCCCTTGTTGCTTTTGTGGGATTTCCGAGAGGAGTAGAGAAAATGGCAACGCCACAGTATGTTTAATACTGCAACCTGGTAAATTGTAAACTGTGATAATCCTGAATGTTAGTATTAATCGGATTGCATTTGAATATTAGTCCTGGTGTAGTCTCTGAACTTCTTGAGTTTTGAAAATTTGAACTAATACAATACTAATAAATATTTGTATGCATCCGAGATTTTAAAATTAAAAGTCTAAAGTGATCCAACAGGCAAAATTAAACAGTGCTGTTAGAAATAGGCTACTGGTCACCCTGGGAGGAGGTAGTGATGGAGGGAACTCAAGGGGGGGGCTTCTGCAGTGGTTAATGTCTCATTTCTTGATCTGGGCGCTGACTATATAAGTGTGTTCGGTTTGTGAACATAATTGAACTGCACACATGATATGTAACTTTTCTGCAAGTATATTACACATTGATAATCATTTTTAAACCAAAATTTGATATAGGACAGCATTTTAAAAATTCAAGCTGAGGCTTGGCCATGTAGCTCAGTTGGTTGGAGCACCACCCTGTATACCTTAAGGTTATGGGTTTGACTCCCTGACAGGACACATACCTAGAGGTTGTGGGTTCAACCCTGAGTTGGAGTGTGCCAGGGAGGAAACTGGTTGATTTTTTCCCCCTCTCTTTCCCTTCCTGTGCCTCTAAAAAATCAATATAAATATGTCCTCAGGTAAGGATTAAAAAAAATTCTAGTTGATTTTAAACCAAAGTTCAAAAATGTTATAAAATGTATATTAGTAATTTTATCTTTCTTCTTAGCCTACGTATAATAAATGTAATACAGCTATCATTATTTAAAAGTTGTTAACTGTATTCCAAGACTTGACACCTTTGTTTATTAATAAGGTCAAGTACAGACTATAGACTGAAATGTAATGAGAGTCTGTGAATCCTTAAAAATTCACAGCCTAGTTTTTGTTTTGTTTTGCAACAGTTTTGCTGCCAGAACACAGGTGTCATTTGCTCAGCTTAGGTTGGGCAGGTTTGTTTCCATTGTTGACAAGAGGGGACCAGCAAGGGTGTGTTTCTAGAAGAAAGGACTTGTTGAGAATTTCAAACTTCAGGGTGGGGCCAAGCAAGATGAGAACGGAAAGGGGTTCCTTTTCTTTTTTACTGATTTTAGGGAAAGAGAGAAACATCAGTTTGTTGTTCCTCTTACTTATAGGTTCGCTGACTGATTCTCGCATGGCCCTGCCCAGGGATGGAACCCACACCCTCAGCGTTTTCAGGGCTGCTCTCTAACCAGCTGAGCTGGCTGGCTAGGGCCAGGCGGTGTTTCTTAAATTTGCTAATTAAGAGGTCACCGTGGAGGAGCAGTGCGCCCGCCCGGTGGCAGGACAGCGAGGAAAGCGTGGAGGTGGGGCACAGGAGACAGGCATGTGGAGATCGCCCTGGAAGCGGCCTCTGTGGAGAGAGCTGGCCCGGGCCCAGGACGAGCTCTTAAGGGGTGGGGAGTGGTGGACCGTTTGGGGCCCAGAGGAAAGAGCCAGCAGGGGGGGAACCTAAAGACAAAGGTGAGGGTGGGGGGACTAATGGGCCTGTAGCTTTTGAGTGTTTACTAAGCTCCAGACAAGTTTCCTGAGGAGACAGGGGCAGGTTCTGGCCTGGATCTGGAGGAGGGACAGCTCTTCCTCTGACAGGTAAGGAACGGGGGAGGTGACAGTGGTGAGGGAAGAGGAAAATGTGGAATTTGCATCAGGGGACCTGACTCTGGGGTATTCAGTAGGCGCTCAATACGTGTTTGCTGACTTCAGCCGACTGAGCCCTGGGGCATGAGCAGCAGACACCCAGCAGAGAGAGGGAGCTGGGCTGAAGGAGGCCGAGGAAAGGACCCGGAGCGAGGGGCAGGCGCGCCTGCAGAGGCCCGGGCAGGCCAGCCGGAGGCCGGGGAGCTGCAGGGATTCCCGCCTGGGGCTGAGCAGTCCGTTAGGAGAGCAGTCTTTGCCTTTGGGGACCAGGGACGCATTGTCACCGTCCATCGTCCTCAGATGCTGCCTACCTGTCGAAGGCAGGAGGCAATTCAGTTCAGATGTTTTTGAGCACCTACTACATGCAAGGACCTGATGTGGCCACCAACTCGGAGAGACCGGGAACAGAGCTGGAAGTCATCCGGCCTTCATCTGCGAACGTGTGCTGGTTTGAACGTGCAGCGCGACATTCCGAATCTTAAAAGGGGCTTGAGGGTATTTGTTAAATTTCTCTATTGGTTGCTTACTGGTTTTTTGTTTTGTTTTAGTAAACGTTTGATTTTGTAATAATTGCAGATTCACATAAAAGTTGCAAAGATGGAACAAAGGGCTCCATGCACCACCCTTCACCCAGTTGCCCCGGTGTTGGCATCTTCCATTACCATGTATGTCAGAACTAAGACATCAGCACCGGCACATTCTATGCCTGAACTCGACTGTGTCTGATTCCACTCGTTTCCCCACTAATGTCCTTTTTCTGATTCAGGCTCAAGTCCAGGATACTACATTGCATTTAGCATTTAGTAGTTTTTGTAGAGTAGGAGTTAGCTCAGTGATATTCTTCTTGCACAAGTTTTCCAAGAAGAGTTTAAACTTTCAGTCCAGTCCACTGAACCGGTCTGAAAAGCTTAAAAACTCTGATTTTCGTTTATTACGCTAATCTGCAAGTAAAACAGACACACAGGCACACCGCCCCCCTCAAAACCCATACGTTTTAACTACAATTTATTGTTCATAATAGTTCCGAGACAGAAGCCGTAAATTATGTTTATTATATTTGTGTGTCCTTACAGCACAATTGCTTTTCTACAAACTCTCGGTAATGAAACAAATGTTTGGAGCCAGCACGGGTAGATCCGCGCACACCCCTTGGGCTAAGGGTGGGGAGCAAGTTTTGCGCGTGTGTTTTGCGGCCCAAGGTGAAGCTCAGCTTGGAAAGGTAAAGAGCGAAGGAGAGGAGCCCGTGTCCAGTCGGCTTTTTTCTTTTAAAAGCACAAGTTAAGCAAGAGAAATGCTCCCCTTTGGCGTCAGGTCCTAGCTTTCGCTTACAGAGTCCCAACTGCAATGTTTTTAAAACGCGGGGACCCGCTTCCGAGCTTGTAAAGACAGCCGTCCCCGCGCTCGCTGCGGGGGCGCAGAAGCAGCACATTTTACAATTTCCTTTTATTGATACCCGCTTTCCTTTTATTGATACCCGCTTCCCTCATTGCCTTCTTCTCCGGTAAAAATGGAACCCGGTACGACCCAGATGGGACTCGAACCCACAATCCCCAGCTCCGGAGGCTGATGCCTTATCCATTAGGCCACTGGGTCACCACAAGAACAGCTTTCCCACAACGCCCTCTTACGCGATGCCATCATCGCGCCCCGCCCCCTGCGCTCTGCGGCCGTGCGTCGGGCGGTGCGTGTTTCAGAAGCCGCGGGCCGGCGGCAGCGCACACGCCTGCGCGCTTCGGAGCCCTGGGCCTGGACTTCAGGCTGACCATAGTGCGCCTGCGCGTGGCTCTCCGCGCCCCGCTGACCGAGCGGCGGGGTCCGCTCGCGGGCGGTCCTCGCCCGTCTGCTGGGTTTTTGGAAGGTTCTCTGCCCCGGCCGCACGTTACGCGCACTAGGGGAGCTTTAAACAAAATTCCATTGGCTGTGCTCCTGCGTTTCTAGTTCCGTTTACCTGGGCAGGACCCGGCTCTGCATTTTACAAAGCTGCCCTGGACCGGCCTCTGCCACAGGCGTTAAGAAGCACTCTCTCGGCGTAAGGTCCTCCGCACCGCACCCCACCGCACCCCACCGCACCCCACCGCACCCCACCGCACCCTACCCTACCCTTCGCATCCCTTACAGGCCCTTTTTTCTCTTCCTTTCCTGCACTTATTCAGGGTACTGTCACTTGATGACCTATTATGTGCTGTGGACTGTAGGGGGGGGTCCCAGGGTAAAAAGGCTTTTCTTTCAACCCACCCTCGCACCCCACTTACCTCCACCTATTTCTCTCCTTCTCCTCTTTCCTTCCGGCTTAAAGGGAAAGTGGGGAGGCCCCTGGGCCCGATGACAGTGTAGGAAAATGAGGTACTCGCACCCTTCCACACCCACATCAGATTCCAGCCGAACTACAGAACAACACAATTCCATTTTCTTCTTGGACACGTAATACCTGGTCACTGTAAAACTATAAAATACGGATAAGCCAAACGAAAATCCTTGAAAATGACTATAATCTTACCATTCAGAGGTAAGCACTATTAACATTTTGGAGAGTACCTTTTAAATCTTGTCTGTGTGTCATGTGTCGCTCATTACCTGTGGGTCCAGTCATCCAGGAAATGCTTTTCATGAAAACTAAGACACTATTAGTGAATAATTAATGAATCATCGAGCACGATGGTGCAGAAGTGGTGGTGGGTAAAACTGTAGCCTTAGTGAATTAGGACAGTGGCACCAAATGGTATTTTCACCTTCATGCACTGGAAGGGGGGGGGGAGTAAGCTTCACTTAAGTCAGCTTCACTTAAGAATGTCCTTGATAATGCTGTAAGAATTATTATTAATTGTATTAAATCTCCACCCTTGACTACACATCTTTTTAATATTTTGTGTGACAAATGGAAAGTATGCCTAAATCACTT